TTAGTGAAGCGGAAGATTAGTCACCAAACCACAAACACTACCACAGATATAGTTCAACATCACTCTGCTCAGTTGTAAAGCTATATACACTAGTAAGCTCCCAAAATAAGTTATTAATACTGAATGCAAATGGGGATTTTCATGCAAGGTTTGCAGACAACACAGCAGTGGATACTATTCGCTTATTCCCTCAATGGATTGTTGCAACAATAACATACCAAGGCATTTGACAGCTTTTCTAGACACACAAGGAGGTTAATATGAATCAGTTGTGTTTTCAGGATTATAAAGTAGTCAGATTTAGCTTCTGCTCAGAGATGCTAGCAGGCAGCTTACATAGCTGCACAAATGCAACGTTTTAACAAACAGACTGCAGTAATTGAGAGAAGCCAGAAAGCACAAGATTTTTGCCCGGGCAGACTATTTGCAACTTCTTTTTTTGACACACATTTTTGTCCAAAGTGCATGTATAAAAAATTCATAAACTGTGATACAGATGTAGTTCCCCCAATACATTCCCTTGCATCAAAGCAATTTTTTACATGTGTACGTATCTGCCTGCAAGTTGCGTGTTGCCTTACGACAGTGTATCCACCACCTTAAATACAAACAAACCCTGCAGATTTGGTCTTAAAGTACTGGTTGTCTAACCATCTGAAACACACTTAACAAATTAAGACATAGATCATTCTTTTTCATTGCAAAATATTAAGCCATACAATTTAAGGCAAATAACCCAATCCTGACACTTCAAGTCAACTTCACAATATTCATCATGGTCACAGTCAGTGTGGGCTACAGTGGTTTGGACTTTGGTCACCATAGTGCAAATCCCATAGAAACCCACTGCATGACCTTGGGCAAGTCACACTCTCTCAGCTTCAGAGGGTGGCAAAGACAAACACCCTCTGAACAAATCTTGTGGTATGTTTGCCTCAGGGTCGCCATAAGTCAGTGCCAACCTAAGGCACACAACTATAATCATAACAATATCCATTTCTGTAACAATCGAGAACTAGGCAGTACCAAATAATTGCAATTATTTTCCCTTTAGTCCAGGTATGGGCAAACTTCGCCCCTCCAAGTGTTTTGGACTTCAACTCCCACAATTCCTAACAGCCAGTAGGGCCTGGAGGGCCGAAGTTTGCCTATTCCTGCTTTAGTCTGATCCAATCTAACACTGCACAGGTAAATGAACTGCTGTTAACCATTAAAGGCCAGGAGACTGCAGTATTTCAAGGCAGCAACACACTCCCAGCTTTCCTACTATGGCAATATTTCATCTCAGATAGCATTAAATGTTCTGTCTTTGAAGCATGCAACATACATTATTTTATAGGGTGGTGGGAAAGATGGGGTTTCCCTGTGAGTATAAAGACATTCTAGCTGCTCTGCAGCCTGCGTTTTTTTTTTTAAACCAATGCTCAGCAAAATGCATCCAGCCTGAACAGCAGCAAAGCCATTAGTTCTGGGGTAAAATGCTCAGCTCCCTCCATTAATCTAGTATTGCCCACTGTCAACTACATCCCAGACATCCTATTAAGAATGGCATTTGTTGTAGTTACTCAGCCCCACTGTCTCGGAGAGAGAAGTACCAAACAATAGGATGTAAAGATAAGCGCTTGCTATATAATACGACTAAGGTTTATCACATCTAGCACTGTGAAATACCTTCAGTCAGATGCTACTGGCAAAGTCTTTCTCTGTTGTGTATAGTCTGTGTCTGGCATTTAAGGAAAATTCATCTCCATTTAGTCATCATTGCTAATAACCAAGACTCAACAATCACCAAGTTCCTAACATTAAACGCTAAAGGAAAAATGCACTCACAGAACCCAACATGAAAGAAAGGGGAACATAAGAGAGAAAGAATACTTCTCACCTTCTTCTGCTATGATCACCTCTGAAGTTATGTATCCAAGGGCACATGTATCCCACACCAAAACACTCATAATTTGCACCCTTTTCTTATCCATCAACACTAACCAGTGCCTTGATGGGGAACTTATAGAATCAGAGATGGAAGAGACCTCGCGGGCCATCCAGTCCAACCTCCTGCCAAAGAGCAGGAAAATCACATTCAAAGCACCCCCCGACAGATGACCATCCAGCCTCTGTTCAGACTTTTATGTCTGAACCTACCCCCCGCTGCCCAATAATCAGCCAGAATGCTATATAAAAGAAAGCACACATGAGATAGAAGGCGTGTGTTGGGGAGGAAGAGGGGAAAGCAGTGTGTGCACACCCGGGTGGGAGTGCCAAGTCACTTGTCCAAGCTTGTACAGGTTGAGCATCCCTTCAAAATCCGAAATCATCCACAGGGGGTGAATGAGGTAGTGACACCTTTGCTTTCAATATACACAAACTTTATTTCATGCATAAAAGTATTAAATTACGTTCAAGCTATGTGTACAAGGTGCATATGAAACATAAAATTAATTTTGTTTCTGGGCTTGGTTGGATCCTATCTCTGAGTCCCTTTAGAGAGAGGGGACAGGTTATAAATTATTATTATTATTATTATTATTATTATTATTATTATTATTATCTCCAAGATATTGTCCATATATGCCAATGAGAGATTCCTAAATAAAAAAAAACCCTCTAATACAGATATGGGCAAACTTTGGCCCTCCAGGTGTTTTGGATTTCAACTCTCATAATTCCTAACAGCCGAACAGTTTTTAAAATAGTGTTTTTTATCGGTAGGTTTTTAATGTAAATGTTATTGTATTACCAATGTTTAATTTTTTATGTTTTATGTCTAAATATTATTTTATGTTTACATTTTAATTTGGTACGGTTAATTTGTAGTTGTATATTATGGTCTTGCGATTATCTTTTGGCTTTCACATGTACGTACAGCATTGAATTTTGCTTTTATAATGTTTGAAACTGCTTTGAGTTCCCTTAAGGGGGAGAAAAGTGGTTTATAAATATAGCAAATAAATAAAATAATAAATTTCAAATAACGAACATTCAACCTGTGATGGGCCTGCAGAGGTACCAATAATAATAATAATAATAATAATAATCTTTATTTATATACTGCCCTATCTCCCCTAGGGGACTTAGAACAGTTTCCACATATGCAAAATACTAAACACATACAATGTGAAACATAGAACATAAGCATAAACTATTAACACAACATATATATTAAAACCAATTTACAAATCAGTTCTGCTCTTCTCTTTCGTGCAAGGTAAGCTACTAGGGGCCAAAATTCAGATAAAAGGCTTAAGCTATTGGTCAGGCTATGGGGACCCCAGGTTGAGAACCACTGGGTTAGGCTGAAACTAGGGCAGAGAAAAGGGAGGCATGGGGCTGACAGAATGCTACAGTGCTGGAGCGGGTCTCAGCAATGGTCATACTGAGGGGCCAAGGGCCACTAATGTCCAGGGCCTATTAAAGAACTATTTAAAGGGTCTGGGCCGGAAGAAAAGGACATAAATAAAGTATTACTATTACTGTTGTTTTTGTTGTTATCTCCAAGATGTTGTCCATATATGCCAATGGGGGGCCATTCCAAAATAAAAAAAAACTTATAATACAGGCATGGGCAAACTTTGGCCCTCCAGGTGTTTTGGACTTCAACTCCCATAATTCCTAACAGCCTACTGTAGGGCTCAAATATCAAGGGATTGGATCTGGATGGCCCTTGTGAATCTCTTTTATGAAACCAAAGCAAGAAAAGTAGAGTATGTATAAACAAATGCAACAATAGCAACAATAATCGAAAATGCTTCTAATCCCAAGTATTTCAAATAAGGACGAGCCTGCAGAGGTACGAAGAGAACTGGCAGAAGTGGGTAAATTGAAGTAAATTAGGAATGGTGGAAGTCCTGGTGTAGAGGCTTTTAAGTACAGGCTGGATGGCCATCTGTCGGGAGTGTCTTGGAGATAGAATGGGGTCTGGGGGTCTTTTCCAACAGAAGTGGGTAAATTGAAGTGAATTAGGAATTGTGGAAATTCCAAACACCTGGAGAGATGAAGTTTGCCCAGGCCTGGTGTAGAGGTTTTGAAGCAGGGGCTGGATGGCCATCTGTCAGGAGCGTTTTGGTGGGAGATCAGGGTTGGGTGGGCTGGATGACCTCTGGGGATCCCTTCCAACAAAAGTGGGTAAATTGAAATGAATTAGGAATGGTAGAAGTCCAGAAACACCTGGCGAAATGAAGTTTGCCCAGGACTGGTGTAGAGGCTTTGAAGCAGAGGCTGAATGGCCATCTGTTGGGAGTGTTTTGGTGGTAGAGTAGGCTGGATGGCCTCTGGGGGTCTCTTCCAACAGAAGTGGGTAAATTGAGGTGAATTAGGAATTGTGGAAGTCCGAAACACCTGGAGAGATGAAGTTTGCCTAGGCCTGGTGTAGAGGCTTTGAAGCAGGGGCTGGATGGCCCTCTGTCAGGGGCGTTTTGGTGGGAGATCAGGGTTGGGTGGGCTGGATGACCTCTGGGGGTCCCTTCCAACAGAAGTGGGTAAATTGAAGTGAATTAGGAATGGTGGAAATCCAAAACAGCTAAAGTTTGCGCAAGCTTGGTGTAGAGGCTTTGAAACAGAGGCTGGATGGCTATCTGTTGAGAGTGTTTTCGTGGTAGAATAGGGTAGAGTGGGCTGGATGACCTCTGGTAGTCTCTTCCAACAAAAGTGGGTAAATTGAAATGAATTAGGAATTGTGGAAGTCCAAAACACCTGGAGGGACAAAGTTTGCCCAGGCCTGGTGTAGATGCTTTAAAGTAGAGGCGGGATGGCCATCTGTCGGGAGTGTTTTGGTGGCAGATCAGGGTTGGGTGGGCTGTATGCCCTCTGGGGCCTCTTCCAACTCCATGACATTGATCCCACTCATCTTGTCAAGGCTCAACCACGTTAAACCACCTCTGTGCTGACTCGCCCTTCAAGAATCCTCCCAAGACACAGATCTGTCATGAGAGAGAGAGGTCCCTCTTCCTTCAGCAACCCTCCCTCCCTCCCTCCTTCCTTCCTCCCTTCCTTCCCCGTCTTACCGAGTGGTTCACCCCCCACATGAGGACGCTGAGGAGCGGGTCGCTGGCCCGGAAGAGCTTGACTTTCTGGGCCACGAAGTGCTTCTTCTTGGTCTTGGTCTTGCTCGCCATGACGGACACGATGTTGCTGGGGGCCGCCATGGTGAGAGGAGCAGGAGGAGGAGGAAGCCAAGGCGGAAGGGGAAGGAAGGACTGAAGCAAGGAGGGGAAGGGCAGGCGCTATTGCGGCAAGAGGGCAGCGGCGGTGTGGGTGCCGCAGCGATTGCTGCTGCTTCTGCCACTGCAGGACAATGCCAAGCGCATCCTGGCCTGACCGCCTGCGCCGCCGCGCGCCGAATATGGCCCCGCGCGCCGCCTCCGCCTCCTCCCCGCACAGGCCACGCCCCCTCTCCTCCCTCCCGTCGCCCCGCCCACTCACTCACCCACCCTCCCCGCCCGTTTTGTGTGAGCATGCGCGCTAACTCCCTCTTCCCTTTTTACGCATGCGCAATAGGAGTGTGCAGTTTCTTCCACTCACTACGCTACATTCTTATTTTCACAGATGGGCTCTGGCTCGCTCTGAGCATGCGCACTAAGGGGATTTGAAGTCTCTTCCCGTCCTCGCTCTGAGCATGCGTGACAAAAAGAATGTGCCGGCTCTTCCCTCTCACCATAGACGCAGTGGGTCAAACTCTTGTGCCTGCAGGACTGAAGACTGACAGGTCACGGGTTCGATTCCCGGGGGGAGCGTGGATGAATATAGAATCAAAGAGTTGGAAGAGACCTCATGGGCCATCCAGTCCAACCCCCTGCCAAGAAGCAGGAATATTGCATTCAAATTACCCCTGACAGATGGCCATCCAGGCTCTGTTTAAAAGCTTCCAAAGAAGGAGCCTCCACCACACCTGGGGCAGAGAGTTCCACTGCTGAAAAGCATTATCATAGAATCATAGAGTTGGAAGAGACCTCATGGGCCATCCAGTCCAAGCCTCTGCCAAGAAGCAGGAATATTGCATTCAAATCACCCCTGACAGATGGCCATCCAGCCTCTGTTTAAAAGCTTCCAAAGAAGGAGCCTCCACCACACTCCGGGGCAGAGAGTTCCACTGCTGAACGGCTCTCACAATCATAGAATCAAAGAGTTGGAAGAGACCTCATGGGCCATCCAGTCCAACCTTCTGCCAAGAAGCAGGAATATTGCATTCAAATCACCCCTGACAGATGGCCATCCAGCCTCTGTTTAAAAGCTTCCAAAGAAGGAGCCTCCACCACACAGAGAGTTCCACCGCTGAACGGCTCTCACAGTCAGGAAGTTCCTCCAAATGTTCAGATGGAATCTCTTCTCTTGTAGTTTGAAGCCATTGTTCCGCGTCCTTGTCTCCAAGGAAGCAGAAAACAAGCTTGCTCCCTCCTCCCTGTGGCTTCCTCTCACATATTTATACATGGCTATCATATCCCCTCTCAGCCTTCTCTTCTTCAGGCTAAACATGCCCAGCTCCTTAAGAACCACGGCAGTGGTTCCCAACCTTCCTAATTTTTTTTTTTTGTCGTGTCAGGAGTGACTCCTGGTGTGAGAGAATTGGCCGTCTGCAAGGATGTTGCCCAGGGGACGCCTGGATGATTAGATGTTTTTATCATCCTTGTGGGAGGCTTCTCTCATGTCCCAGCATGAGGAGCTGGAGCTGATAGAGGGAGCTCATCCGCCTCTCCCCGGATTCGAACCTGCGACCTGTCGGTCTTCAGTCCTGCCGGCACAGGGGTTTAACCCACTGCGCCACCGGGGGCTCCACAAACTGGTTAGATTCACTTCCTCATGTCGTGGTGACCCCCAACTATAAAATTATTTTCATTGTTACTTCATAACTGTAATTTTGCTACTGTTATGAATCGTAATGTAAATATCTGATATGCAGGATGTATTTTCATTCACTGGACCAAATTTGGCACAAATACCCAATACACCCAAATTTGAATACTGGTGGGGTTGGGGAGGATTGATTTTGTCATTTGGGAGTTGTAGTTGCTGGGATTTATAGTTAACCTACAATCAAAGAGCATTTTGTACTCCACCAATGATGGAATTGAACCAATCTTGGCACACAGAACTTCCATGACTAACATAAAATACTACAAGGGCTTGATGGGCATTGACCTTGAGTTTTGGAATTGTAGTTCACCTATATCCAAAGAACACTGTGGAATCAAACAATGATGGATCTGAATCAAACTTGGCACAAATATTCAATATACCCAAATGTGAACACTGGTGTTTAGAGAAAATAGACCTTGACATTTGGGAGTTGTAGTTGCTGGGATTTATAGTTCACCTACAACCAAAGGGCATTCTGAATCCCAGAAATGATAGATTTGGGCCAAATTTCCCAAACAGAACCCCTATGACCAACAGAAAATACTGTGTTTTCTGATGTTTTTGGTGACCCCTCTGACACCCCCTTGCGACCCCCCCCCCCGGGGTCCTGACCCCCAGGTTGAGAAACACTGCCATATGGGGACATGAGAGAAGCCTCTCATAAGGATGGGTAAAACATCAAAAACATCCGGGCGTCCCCTGGGCAGTTTCTTAAGTGACTCCTGACACGAAAAACTAATGACAAACTTATTGTGTTTTTTTTGGGGGGGGGGAGTTTGCTCAGAGGAAATTTGTCACTGCCTTCTTCTGAGGTTGAGAGAGTGTGGCTTGCCCAAAATCACCCAATAAGTTTCCATGGGCAAGGAGATTTGAACTCCTGAAGTCCTTGTGTGGTCTCTTTATAAACTGAAACTCTCCAAATGCCCTTGGCCAACAACCAAATAAATTGTGAGATTTGAGGAATTATAATCCAGAATCAGCGTGTTAATGACTCGGTGTGTTAATGACTCATAAAAGTGCTCCACAGTACCCAAAAAGTGCATGCAGATAACTCTGTTGCTTTTGAATGTTTCATCATCATCATCATTGCTGCATGCACTTACCTTGTCTCATTTGATTACCGCAGATGAAATAGATAATGCTTATACATTGTTCTTGTTGCATCTCCTTACTTCCCTTTCCATTTCCGTCATAGAGATCTCCTGTTTTGGGTTCATCAGTACGCTGACCTACGTTTTGAATCAGCTCCCATGTTCCCAGCTCAGATGTGTCTTGGCGTCTGATGCTAGCTCCAGTTTTCTTGCTCTTTGTACTGAAACAGGCACGTCAACATCTCAGTTTGGGGCTCCTGCCAGAAAAAACATTTTCATCTTAAGGAGCCTTTATATCGCTCATCAAAGATGTTCCTCCCACACCTAATATATCCCAGGCCATGGCTGTAGTTCTTATTATTTGTTGTTGATGAATTCTTTTATATTAGTAAGATGTTACGGCTGCATATCCTAACTAGGCAGAAAGCACAATTGAAATCAATGGTTATCTTTGGAACTAGGTATAGTTAAGAATTTCTTTTTGTAAAGCACTACCTATCTTTGGAAAAACTGGACATTTTTATAAGCTCTTTTTGTTGTTTATTCGTTCAGTCATTACAACTCTTCGTGACCTCATGAACCAGTCCACGCCAAAGCTCCCTGTCGGAGGTGGCCACCCCCAGCTCCTTCAAGGCCAAGCCAGTCACTTCAAGGATAACAACCACCTTGCCCTTGGTTGGACCTTCTTCCTTTGTCCTTCAATTTTCCCCAGCATCATTAATTTTTCCAAGCTTTCCTGTCTTCTCATTATGTGGTCAAACTTTGCCTCTAATATCCTTCCCTTCAGTGAGGGAGTTTCCTGGAGTATGGACTGGTTTGATCTTCTTGTGGTCCAAGGCACTCTCAGAATTTTCCTCCAACACCACAGTTCAAAAGTGTCAACCTTCCTTTGCTCAGCCTTCCTTATGGCCCTTACAAATCAGAAAATATGGGTGCTATGCAGCTACAGTAGAGTCTTGCTTATCCAACCTTCACTTATCCAACATTCTGTATTATCCAACAGTTTCTGCCTCCTGCTTGGATCCACAGGTGCGGGAAGTGGAGTGTATATTTACCTGTGGAATAATGTCCAGAGTCGCAGAAAGAAAGAACCCTTGTCTGTTTTGGTGCTAATGTCCTAAATACAGTAATTACTACATAATGTTACCGTGTATTGAACTGCTTTTTCTGTCAATTTGTTGTAAAACATGATGTTTTGGTTCTTAATTTTTAAAATCACAACGCAATTTGATATTTAATAGACTTTTCCTTAATCCCTCCTTATTATCCAACATTTTCACTTATCCAATGTTCTGCTGGCCCGTTTATGTTGGATAAGCGAGATTCTACTATATCTTTAATCCAGCACAATTTATAGTGACTGACAGAGAAGCTTATGAAATTCATGGGGTTGCCATAAATTGACAGGTAGTTGAAGGCACATATACACAGAGGGTGAAAATCTTGATATCATCTGATAGAGACTCAGGTCTTTGAAAATGAGCAGAAGCTTTGAGCATGTCATTTTGAAGGTTTACTCAGAAGTAAGACTGGCAGAAGCAAGATTTTAAAAAAGCAGCTTTGGGTTAAAATCCAAGAATGTTCTCCTCCAGAAGACTTCAGACGCTTCCAGTTTCTTTGAAACTAAGAAGGGCTTTACATCTGCAGCAAATAAAAGTACAACGTTGGATGCTACTGCTGCTGCTGGTATTTTGCCTGTGCATACTTCTTGTGTGGTTTCCCCCCCGCCCCCACCCCATCCCTTCCTACATTTGCAGTTGAAGTTGCTGCCAACACTTCCTCTGCAAGCCAGTAATAGGTCAGCTGTCAGGGATTGCAAACTGCAGAGGAAGTACATTTTTGCTGCTGAAGAAATTGCCGAGTCAATGCAACGGGCAATTCTATAATGTCTTTTGTCCTACGGCTGTTTGCACTGCTTATGATGGAGTTCAGACTTTGCTTCAGAGAGTGACACTTAAAAGTGCAATCCTAGCCAACTGAGAAGCCAGTCCCATTGAACTGAATGGGATTTACTTTGAGCTCAATGTGTGCATTCCTCCTCCAGATACTTTCCTTCCAGTTCAGTTATGAAATTAGAGATGCTATGGTATGTCTAAGAGGAAGTACACTATTGGGGGGGGGGGTGTTAGATGACTTACATCACTCACCCGTGTTGGTTGTTATTTAGCATTGCATGATTTAAAGTGATGGGAAAGTGCAGCAGTGAACTTTGGTCTCACAAGTTTCCTTTCCCACCCTCAGTTTTGGATGTGAGGAGGAGATTATCACTTTTGTTATTTAAACAAGAAGTCCTCATTACAGCCAAACTGAGGAATTAATTGGTTTAAATTATGGCTTCCTGGAACCCTGAGATTCCATGTGAGGTTACTTAGGATACTATAAGAGGTCATGATTGGGGAAAATATTAGCTGTAGATATAT